AGAGCTTGCGTGGTCTAGGAGCTTGCGTGGTCCAGGAGCTTTGCCTGGTCCAAGAGCTTGCCTGGTCCAAGAGCTTTCGTGGTCCAGGAGCTTGCTTGGTCCAGGAGCTTGCCTGGTCTAGGAGCTTGCCTGGTCCAGGAGCTTGCATGGTCCAGGAGCGTGCCTGATCCACGAGTTTGCCTGGTCCAGAAGCTTGCCTGGTCCAGGAGCTTGCCTGGTCTAGGAGCTTGCATGGTCCAAGAGCTTGCCTGGTCCAGGAGCTTGCCTGGTCCAGGAGCTATCTTGGTCCAGGAGCTTGCCTGGTCCAGGAGCTTGCCTGTTCCATGAGCGTGCCTGGTCCAGGAGCTTGCCTTGTCCAGGAGCTTTCTTGGTCCGTTAGCTTGCCTCGTCCACGAGCGTGCCTGATCCACGAGCTTGCCTGGTCCAAGAGCGTGCCTGGACCAGGAGTGTGCCTAGTCCACGAGCGAGCCTGGTCCAGGAGCTTGCCTGGTCCCGGAGCTTTCGTGGTCCAGGAGCTTGCCTGGTCCGGAAGCTTGCCTGGTCCAAGAGCTTGCCTGGTCCTCGAGCTTGCCTGGTCCAAGAGCTTGCGTGGTCCAGGAGCTTTCGTGGTCCAGAAGCTTGCGTGGTCCAGGAGCTTGCCTGGTCCAAGAGCTTGCCTGGTCCAAGAGCTTGCGTGGTCAAGAAGCTTGCGTGGTCTACGAGCTTGCCTGGTCTAGGAGCTTGCCTGGTCCAGGAGCTTGCTTGGTCCAGGAGCGTGCTTGGTCCACGAGTTTGCCTGGTCTAGAAGCTTGCCTGGTCCAAGAGCTTGCCTGGTCTAGGAGCTTGCATGGTCCAGGAGCGTGCCTAGTCCAGGAGCTAGCGTGGTCCAGGAGCTATCCTAGTCCAGGAGCTTGCGTGGTCCAGGAGCTTGCCTGGTCCAGGTTTGTGCCTGGTCCACGACTTTGCTTGGTCCAGAAGCTTGCCTGGTCCAAGAGCTTGCCTGGTCTAAGAGCTTGCATGGTCCTGGAGCGTGCCTGGTCCAAGAGCTTGCCTGGTCCAAGAGCTATCCTGGTCCAGGAGCTTGCCTCGTCCAGGAGCTTGCCTGGTCCAGGAGCTTGCCTGTTCGAGGAGCGTGCCTGGTCCAAGAGCTTGCCTGGTCCAAGAGCGTGTATGGTCCACGAGCGTGCCTGGTCCATGAACTTGCCTGGTCAGGAGCTTGCCTAGTCAAGGAGCTTGCCTGGTCCAAGAGCTTGCCTGGTCCAGGAGCTTGCCTGGTTCAAGAGCTTGCCTGGTCTAGGAGCTTGCCTGGTCGAGGAGCTTGCCTTGTCCAGGTTCGTGCCTGGTCCACGAGTTTGCTTGGTCCAGAAGCTTTCCTGGTCCAGGAGCTTGCCTGGTCTAAAAGCTTGCATGGTTCAGGTGCGTGCGTGGTCCAAGAGCTTGCTTGGTCCAGGAGCTATCCTGGTCCAGGAGCTCGCCTGGTCCAGGAGATTGCCTGGTCCAAGAGCTTGCGTGTTCCAGGAGCGTGCCTGGTCCAAGAGCTTGCCTGGTCCAAGAGCGTGCATGGTCCACGAGCGTGCCTAGTCTAGGAGCTTGCTTGGTCTAGGAGCTTGCCTGGTCAAGGATCTTGTCTGGTCCAGGAGCTTGCCTGGTCCAGGAGCTTGCCTTGTCCACGAGCCTGCCTGGTCCAAGAGCTTGCCTCGTCCGGGAGCGTGCACGGTCCACGAGCGTGCCTGGTCCAGGAGTTTGCCTGGTCCAGGAGCTTGCGTGGTACAATAGCTTGCTTGGTCTAGAAGCCTGCCTGGTCCAAAAGCTTGCCTGGTCCAAGAGCGTGCCAGGTCCAAGAGCTTGCGTGATCCAGGAGCTTGCGTGGTCGAGCTTGCCTGGTCCAGGAGCTTCCCTGGTCCAGGAGCTTGCCTGGTCCAAGAGCTTGCCTGGTCCAAGAGCTTGCGTGGTCCAGGAGCTTGCCTGGTCCAGGAGCTTGCTTGGTCTAGGAGCTTGCCTGGTCCAGGAGCTTGCCTGGTCCAGGAGCTTGCCTGGTCAAAGAGCTTGCCTGGTCCAGGAGTTTGCCTGGTCCAGAAGCTTGCCTCGTCCAGGAGCTTGCCTGGTCTAGGAGATTGCATGGTCCAGGAGCGTGCCTGGTCCAGAAGCTTGCCTGGTCCACGAGCTATCCTGGTTCAGGAGCTTGCCTGGTCCAGGAGCTTGCCAGGTCCAGGAGCTTGCCTGTTCCACGAGCATTCCTGGTCCAGGAGCTTGCCTTGTCTAGGAGCTTTCTTGGTCCGTTAGCTTGCCTGGTCCAGGAGCTTGCCTTGTCCAGGAGCTTGCCTGGTCCAGGAGCTTGCGTGAACCAATAGCTTGCTTGATCCAGAAGCCTGCCTGGTCCAAGAGCTTGCCTGGTCCACGAGCGTGCGTGGTCCAAAAGCTTGCGTGGTCTAGGAGCTCGCGTGGTCCAGGAGCTTGCCTGGTCCAAGAGCTTGCCTGGTCCAGGAGCTTTGCCTGGTCCAAGAGCTTGCCTGGTCCAAGAGCTTGCGTGGTCGAGGAGCTTGCCTGGTCCAGGAGCTTGCCTGGTCTAGGAGCTTGCTTGGTCCAGGAGCTTGCCTGGTCCAGGAGCGTGCCTGATCCACGAGTTTGCCTGGTCCAGAAGCTTGCCTGGTCCAGGAGCTTGCCTGGTCTAGGAGCTTGCATGGTCCAGGAGCTTGCCTGGTCCAGAAGCTTGCCTGGTCCAGGAGCTTGCCAGGTCCAGGAGCTTGCCTGTTCCACGAGCGTGCCTGGTCCACGAGCTTGCCTTGTCCAGGAGCTTTCTTGGTCCGTTAGCTTGCCTTGTCCACGAGCGTGCCTGATCCACGAGCTTGAATGGTCCGAGAGCGTGCCTGGACCAGGAGTGTGCCTGGTCCACGAGCGAGCCTGGTCCAGGAGCTTGCCTGGTCCCGGAGCTTTCGTGGTCCAGGAGCTTGCCTGGTCCGGAAACTTGCCTGGTCCAGGAGCTTGCCTGGTCCTCGAGCCTGCCTGGTCCAAGAGCTTGCGTGGTCCAGGAGCTTTCGTGGTCCAGAAGCTTGCCTGGTCCAGGAGCTTGCCTGGTCCAAGAGCTTGCCTGGTCCAAGAGCTTGCGTGGTCTAGAAGCTTGCCTGGTCCACGAGCTTGCCTGGTCTAGGAGCTTGCCTGGTCCAGGAGCTTGCTTGGTCGACGAGTTTGCCTGGTCTAGAAGCTTGCCTGGTCCAAGAGCTTGCCTGGTCTAGGAGCTTGCATGGTCTAGGAGCGTGCCTAGTCCAGGAGCTAGCCTGGTCGAGGAGCTATCCTGGTCCAGGAGCTTGCCTGGTGTAGGAGCTTGCCTGGTCTAGAAGCTTGCCTGTTCCACGAGCATGCCTGGTCCAGGAGCTTGCCTTGTCCAGGAGCTTTCTTGGTCCGTTTGCTTGCCTGGTCAAGGAGCTTGCCTGGTCCAGGAGCTTTCTTGGTCCGTTTGCTTGCCTGGTCCAGGAGCTTGCCTGGTCCAGGAGCTTGCCTGGTCCAGGAGCTTGCCTGGTCCACGAGCCTGCTTGGTCCGAGAGCTTGCCTGGTCCAGGAGCTTTCCTGGTCTAGGACCTTGCGTGGTCCAAGAGCTTGCTTGGTCCAGAAGCCTGCCTCGTCCACGTACTTGCCTGGTCCAGGAGCGTGCCTTGTCGAAAAGCTTGCGTAGTCCAGGAGCTTGCCTCGTCCAAGAGCTTGCGTGGTCCAGGAGCTTGCCTGGTCCAGGAGCTTGCCTGGTCTAGGAGCTTGCCTGGTCCAAGAGCTTCCTTGGTCCAGAAGCATGTCTGGTCCACGAGTTTGCCTGGTCCACAAGCTTGCCTGGTCCAGGAGCTTGCCTGGTCTAGGAGCTTGCATGGTCCAGGAGCGTGCCTGGTCCAGGAGCTTGCCTAGTCCAGGAGCTATCCTGGTCCAGGAGCTTGCTTGGTCAAGGAGCTTGCCTGTTCCAGGAGCTTGCCTGTTCCAGGAGCTTGCCTGGTCCAGGAGCTATCCTGGTCTAGGAGCTTGCCTGGTCCAAGAGCTTGCCTTGTCCAGGAGCTTTCTTGGTCCGTGAGCTTGCCTGGTCCAGGAGCTTGCCTTGTCCAGGAGCTTGCCTGGTCCAAGAGCTTGCCTGGTCCAAGAGCTTGCGTGGTCCAGGAGCTTGCCTGGTCTAGGAGCTTGCCTGTTCCAGGAGCTTGCCTGGTCCAGGAGCTATCCTGGTCTAGGAGCTTGCCTGGTCCAGGAGCTTGCCTGGTCCAGGAGCTTGCGTGGTCCAAGAGCTTGCCTGGTCCAGGAGCTTGCCTGGTCCAGGAGCGTGCCTGGTCCACGACTTTGCCTGGTCCAGAAGCTTGCCTGGTTTAGGAGCTTGCCTGGTCTAGGAGCTTGCATGGTCCAGGAGCGTGCCTGGTCTAGGAGCTTGCCTGGTCCAGGAGCTATCCTGTTCCAAGAGCTTGCCAGGTCCAAGAGCTTGCCTGGTCCAGGAGCTTGCCTGTTCGAGGAGCGTGCCTGGTCCAAGAGCTTGCCTGGTCCAAGAGCGAGCATGGTCCACGAGCGTGCCTGGTCGAGGAACTTGCCTGGTCAAGGAGCTTGCCTGGTCAAGGAACTTGCCTGGTCCTGGAACTTGCCTGGTCCAAGAGCTTGCCTGGTTCATGAGCTTGCCTGGTCTAGGAGCTTGCCTGGTCCAGGAGCTTGCCTGGTCCAGAAGCGTGCCTGGTCCACGAGTTTGCTTGGTCCAGAAGCTTGCGTGGTCCATGAGCTTGCCTGGTCTAGGAGCTTGCATGGTCCAGGAGCGTGCCTGGTCCAGGAGGTTGCCTGGTCCAGGAGCTATCCTGGTCCAAGAGCTTGCCTAGTCCAGGAGCTTGCCTGGTCCAAGAGCTTGCTTGTTCCAGGAGCGTGCCTGGTCCAAGAGCTTTCCTGGTCCAAGAGCGTGCATGGTCCACGAGCGTGCATGGTCCAGGAGCTTGCCTGGTCCAGGAGCTTGCCTGGTCAAGGAGCTTGCCTGGTCCAGGAGCTTGCCTGGTCCAGGAGCTTGCCTGGTCCAGAAGCTATCCTGGTTCAGGAGCTTGCCTAGTCAAGGAGCTTGCCTGGTCGAGGAGCTTGCCTGGTCCAGGAGCTTGCGTGGTCCACGAGCCTCCCTGGTCCAAGAGCTTGCCTGGTCCAGGAGCGTGCATGGTCCACGAACGTGCCTAGTCCAGGAGTTTGCCTGGTCGAGGAGCTTGCCTGGTCCAGAAGCTTGCATGGTCCAATCTCTTGCTTGGTCCAAAAGCCTGCCTGGTCCAAGAGCTTGCCTGGTCCAGGAGCGTGCCTGGTCCAAGAGCTTGACTTATCCAGGACCTTGCGTGGTCGAGGAGCTTGCCTGGTCAAGGAGCTTGCCAGGTCCAGGAGCTTGCCTGGTCCAAGAGCTTGCCTGGTCCAAGAGCTTGCGTGGTCCAGGAGCTTGCCTTGTCCAGGAGCTTGCCTGGTCTAGGAGCTTGCATGGTCTAGGAGCTTGCCTGGTCTAGGAGCGTGCGTGGTCCACGAGTTTGCCTGGTCCAGAAGCTTGCCTCGTCCAGGAGCTTGCCTGGTCTAGGAGCTTGCATGGTCCAGGAGTGTGCCTGGTCCAGGAGCTTGCCTAGTCCAGGAGCTATCCTGGTCAAGGAGCTTGCCTGATCCAGGAGCTTGCCTGGTCCACGAGCGTCCACGTCCATGTCCAAGTCCACGTCCTTGTCTACGTCCACGTCCACGTCCATGTCCACGTCCACGTCCACGTCCATGTCCACGTCCACGTCCACGTCCACGTCCACGTCCATGTCCACGTCCACGTCCACGTCCACGACCACGTCCACGTCTACGTCCACGTCCACGTCCACGTCTAAGTCCATGTCCACGTCCACGTCCACGTCCACATCCACGACCATGTCTTCGTCCACGTCCACGTCCACGTCCATGTCCACGTCCAAGTTCTCCACGTCCACGTCCACGTCCATGTCCACGTCCAAGTTCTCCACGTCCACGTCCACGTCCACGTTCACGTCCACAACCACGTCCACGTCCACGTCCACGTCACGTCCACGTCACGTCCACGTCCACGTCCACGTCCACGTCCACGTCCACGTCCGCGTCCACGTCCGCGTCCACGTCCACGTCCGCGTCCACGTCCGGGTCCACGTCCACGTCCACGTCCGCGTCCGTCCACGTCCGCGTCCACATCCACGTCCACGTCCACGTCCGCGTCCGTCCACGTCCACGTCCGCGTCCACGTCCGCGTCCACGTCCACGTCCGCGTCCACGTCCGCGTCCACGTCCACGTCCACGTCCACGTCCGCGTCCGTCCACGTCCACGTCCGCGTCCGCGTCCGCGTCCGCGTCCGCGTCCGCGTCCAAGCCGCGTCCGCATCCGCGTCCGCGTCTACGTCCGCGTCCGCGTCCGCGTCCACGTCCACGTCCACGTCCACGTCCACGTCCAGGTCCACGTCCATGTCCAGGTCCACGTCCACGTCCACGTCTACGTCCACGTCCACGTCCACGTCCACGTCCACGACCACGTCCACGTCCACGACCATGTCCACGTCCACGTCCATGTCCACGTCCACGTCCATGTCCACGTCCACGTCCACGTCCACGTCCATGTCCACGTCCACGTCCACGTCCAGGTCCCTGTCCACGTCCACGTCCACGTCCATGTCCACGTCCACGTCACGTCCACGTCCACGTCCACGTCCACGTCCACGTCCACGTCCACGTCCACGACCAAGTCCACGTCCACGTCCAAGTCCACGTCCACTTCCACGTCCACGTCCACGTCCAGGTCCACGTCCACGTCCACGTCCACGTCCACGTCCACGTCCACGTCCATGTCCACGTCGACGTCCATGTCCACGTCCACGTCTACGTCCACGTCCACGTCCATGTCCACGTCCACGTCCACGTCCATGTCCACGTCCAAGTCCTCCACGTCCACGTCCACGTCCACGTCCATGTCCACGTCCAAGTTCTCCACGTCCACGTCCACCTCCACGTCCACGTCCATGTCCACGTCCATGTCCATGTCCACGTCTACGTCCACCATTTTCTCTACATATTTGCGTTAGTTACCTTTCAAACCCTTACGTTCACTAGATGAATTTATTTCCTTCCTTCTATTTGAGTGAGACCACTAGATTTCGTGTACTATGCGAGATCGGAGCAGTTCCGTTCTCCCAGGCATTTGCACTCTAAGTTCCCATACTGACCGACCTGGCCAATGCACCATTTTCCATATACATACGCATTAGATTCCTTTCGAACCTTATTAGCTCACTAGATTTATATATTTCCCACCTTCGGATCGAGTGAGACCGCTATGTTCCCTTTACTTTTTGAGAAATGAGCGTTTCCGTTCTCCTTGGCCCTACTTGCACTATAAGTGCGAAATGCCGGCCAGACTGGCCGATGCACCATTTTCTCTACACATGTGCGTTAGTTACCTTTCAAACCCTTACGTTCACTAGATGAATTTATTTCCTACCTTCTTTTTGAGTGAGACCACTAGATTCCGTGTGCTATGCGAGATTTGAGCGCTTCCGTTCTCCCAGGCATCTGCACTCTAAGTTCCCATACTGACCGACCTGGCCAATGCACCATTTTCCATATAAATATGCTTTAGATTTCTTTCGAACCTTATTAGCTCACTAGATTTATATATTTCCCACCTTGTGATCGAGTGAGACTGCTAGATTCCCTCTACTTTTTGAGAAATGAGCGTTTCCGTTCTCCTTGGCCCTACTTGCACTATAAGTGCGAAATGCCGGCCAGACTGGCCGATGCACCATTTTCTCTACACATGTGCGTTAGTTACCTTTCAAACCCTTACGTTCACTAGATGAATATATTTCCTACTTTCTATTTGAGTGAGACCACTTGATTCCGTGTACTATGCGAGATCTGAGCGCTTCCGTTCTCCCTGGCATTTGCATTTTAAGTTCCGATACTGACCGACCTGGCCAATGCACCATTTTCTCTATACATGTGCGTTGAATACATTTCAAACCTTTTTAGCTGACTAGATTTATATATTTCCCACCTTCTGATCGAGTGAGACCGTTAGATTCCCTTTACTTTTTGAGAAACGAGCGTTTCCGTTCTCCCTGACCCCACCTGCACTATGAGTGCGAAATGCCGGCCAGACTGGCCGATGCACCATTTTCTCTACACATGTGCGTTAGTTACCTTTCAAACCCTTACGTTCACTAGATGAATTTATTTCCTACCTTATATTTGAGTGAGACCACTAGATTCCGTGTATTATGCGAGATATGAGCGGTTCCGTTCTCTGAGGCATTTGCACTCTAAGTTCCCATACTGACCGACCTGGCCAATGCACCACTTTTCATATACATATGCATTAGATTCCTTCCGAACCTTATTAGCTCACTATATTTATAAGGGCCTAAACCCTGAGAGCGCACAGTGGGATCAGCATCAGCAGCAGGGGCAGGAGAGGCGCCAGAAGTGAGGTCAAAGAGAGAGAGGTCGTCTGCCCTATCGCATTGTAAAAACAACTGCAGGTCGTCGACCCAGACCTCAAAGTCAATGGCGCGACCCTCTGCGTCAAAAGCTAGGACACTAGGGGTAGCCATGACGACGACAGCGAAGCAGTGCAAGCAGTAGGGGAAGAGCACGCAGTGACAGTGGGACTGTGCTCACCAGGCAGGGCAGCGCTGCAGAAGGGCGGCTCGGCAACTCAGCGACTCGGCTGCTGGGCGGCTCGGCTTCCGGGCGGCTCGGTGTCGGGCGGCTCGGGTGCAGGGCGGCTCGGCTCCCGGGCGGCTCGGCGGCAGGGCGGCTCGGCTGCACCGCTGCTCGGCTGCTGCAGGTGGACGGCTCGGCTGCTGCAGGTAGGGTGACGGGGCCGTGAGACCAGGGGCGGCAGGGCCGGCAAAGCAGGGCCGGCAGGGGGGACGGCGGGGCCGCGTTTGAGCGGGCGGCGGGGCCGCGGCTGAGCAGGCGGCGGGGCCGCGTAGTAGTGGGCGGCGGGGCCGGGGCTGAGCAGGCGGCGGGGCCGCGTCAAAGCGGGCGGCAGGGCCGCGTCAAAGCAGGTGGCGGGGCCGCGTCGTAGTGGGCGGCGGGGCCGGGGCTGAGCAGGCGGCGGGGCCGCGTCAAAGCGGGCGGCGGGGCCGCGTCAAAGCATGCGGCGGGGCCGCGTCAGAGCAGACGGCGGGGCCGCGTCAAAGCGGGCGGCGGGGCCGCGTCGTAGCGGGCGGCGGGGCCGCGTCTGAGCAGGCGGCGGGGCCGCGTGTGAGCAGGCGGCAGGGGCCGCGTCTGAGCGGGCGGCGGGGCCGCGTCGTAGCGGGCGGCGAGGCCGCAGCTGAGTAGGTGGCGGGGCCGCGTCTGAGCAGGTGGCGGAGCCGCGATCGAAATGGGCGGCGGGGCCGCGTCTGAAGGGGCGGCAGGGCCGCGAGGGAAGGGCGACACGGAGGGTCGCTCGAGCGAGAGGAAAATAAAAGCTAGCGCGCCTCAAGGCGCGCTTCGGTGGGCCCTAGGCAAAGTTCCCACAGGGAACCCGCTCTATACCATGTGAAACTTGTAAAACAGGAATGAATGACTAAGTCAAGGTTGGGTACAACTACAACCCTAGAAAGCTATACCCCATATGTGCTACCCCACTATAGCCTATAAACATGCATCAGCTATAGTAATCTGACACTACCTATTATTTGAGTGAGACCACTAGATTCCGTGTACTATGCGAGATCTGAGCGTTTCCGTTCTCCCTGGCATTTGTACTCTAAGTTCCCATACTGACCGACCTGGCCAATGCACCATTTTCTATATACATATGCATTATATTCCTTTCGAACCTTATTAGCTCACTAGATTTATATATTTCCCACCTTCTGATCAAGTGAGACCGCTAGATTCCCTTTAGTTTTGAGAAATGAGCGTTTCCGTTCTCCTTGGCCCTACTTGCACTATAAGTGCGAAATGCCAGCCAGACTGGCCGATGCACCATTTTCTCTACACATGTGCGTTAGTTACCTTTCAAACCCTTACGTTCACTAGATGAATTTATTTCCTACCTTCTATTTGAGTGAGACCACAAGATTCCGTGTACTATGCGAGATCCGAGCGCTTCCGTTCTCCCTGGCATTTGCATTTTAAGTTCCGATACTGACCGACCTGGCCAATGCACCATTTTCTCTATACATGTGCGTTGAATACATTTCAAACCTTTTTAGCTGACTAGATTTATATATTTCCCACCTTCTGATCGAGTGAGACCGTTAGATTCCCTCTACTTTTTGAGAAATGAGCGTTTCCGTTCTCCTTGGCCACACCTGCACTATGAGTGCGAAATGCCGGCCAGACTGGCCGATGCACCATTTTCTCTACACATGTGCGTTAGTTACCTTTCAAACCCTTACGTTCACTAGATGAATATATTTCCTACCTTATATTTGAGTGAGACCACTAGATTCCGTGTATTATGCGAGATCTGAGCGGTTCCGTTCTCCCAGGCATTTGCACTCTAAGTTCCCATACTGACCGACCTGGCCAATGCACCACGTTCCATATACATATGCATTAGATTCCTTCCGAACCTTATTAGCTCACTAGATTTATATATTTTCCACCTTCTGATCTAGTGAGACCGCTAGATTCCCTTTACTTTTTGAGAAATGAGGGTTTCCGTTCTCCTTGGCCCTACTTGCACTATAAGTGTGAAATGCCGGCCAGACTGGCCGATGCACCATTTTCTCTACACATGTGCGTTAGTTACCTTTCAAACCCTTACGTTCACTAGATGAATATATTTCCTACTTTCTATTTGAGTGAGACCACTTGATTCCGTGTACTATGCGAGATCTGAGCGCTTCCGTTCTCCCTGGCATTTGCATTTTAAGTTGCAATACTGACCGACCTGGCCAATGCACCATTTTCTCTATACATGTGCGTTGAATACATTTCAAACCTTTTTAGCTGACTAGATTTATATATTTCCCACCTTCTGATCGAGTGAGACCGTTAGATTCCCTCTACTTTTTGAGAAACGAGCGTTTCCGTTCTCCTTGGCCCCACCTGCACTATGAGTGCGAAATGCCGGCTAGACTCGCCGATGCACCATTTTCTCTACACATGTGCGTTAGTTACCTTTCAAACCCTTACGTTCACTAGATGAATTTATTTCCTACCTTCTATTTGAGTGAGACCACAAGATTCCGTGTACTATGCGAGATCCGAGCGCTTCCGTTCTCACTGGCATTTGCATTTTAAGTTCCGATACTGACCGACCTGGCCAATGCACCATTTTCTCTATACATGTGCGTTGAATACATTTCAAACCTTTTTAGCTGACTAGATTTATATATTTCCCACCTTCTGATCGAGTGAGACCGTTAGATTCCCTCTACTTTTTGAGAAATGAGCGTTTCCGTTCTCCTTGGCCACACCTGCACTATGAGTGCGAAATGCCGGCCAGACTGGCCGATGCACCATTTTCTCTACACATGTGCGTTAGTTACCTTTCAAACCCTTACGTTCACTAGATGAATATATTTCCTACCTTATATTTGAGTGAGACCACTAGATTCCGTGTATTATGAGAGATCTGAGCGGTTCCGTTCTCCCAGGCATTTGCACTCTAAGTTCCCATACTGACCGACCTGGCCAATGCACCACGTTCCATATACATATGCATTAGATTCCTTCCGAACCTTATTAGCTCACTAGATTTATATATTTTCCACCTTCTGATCTAGTGAGACCGCTAGATTCCCTTTACTTTTTGAGAAATGAGGGTTTCCGTTCTCCTTGGCCCTACTTGCACTATAAGTGTGAAATGCCGGCCAGACTGGCCGATGCACCATTTTCTCTACACATGTGCGTTAGTTACCTTTCACACCCTTACGTTCACTAGATGAATATATTTCCTACTTTCTATTTGAGTGAGACCACTTGATTCCGTGTACTATGCGAGATCTGAGCGCTTCCGTTCTCCCTGGAATTTGCATTTTAAGTTCCAATACTGACCGACCTGGCCAATGCACCATTTTCTCTATACATGTGCGTTGAATACATTTCAAACCTTTTTAGCTGACTAGATTTATATATTTCCCACCTTCTGATCGAGTGAGACCGTTAGATTCCCTCTACTTTTTGAGAAACGAGCTTTTCCGTTCTCCCTGGCCCCACCTGCACTATGAGTGCGAAATGCCGGCCAGACTCGCCGATGCACCATTTTCTCTACACATGTGCGTTAGTTACCTTTCAAACCCTTACGTTCACTAGATGA